GTTGCCCTGGGAGCCAAAACGTGGGGTTGCTTTCCCTTGTGACCTGGGGGGGACCTCTCCAGCTTTATTCTGAGTGCATGAAGCCCCTTCAGCACTAATGCCTCCCCAGGTTCCAGGAGTTCCTGTGTGCCCAGCTGGGGAGGATGAGTTGAGCTGTGCAGGCGGGAGGGTCAGTGCAGCAGCCTGAGGTGGCTGGTGGGGCTGCCCTGCTCATGCTGGAGATAAACGTGGGTGGGATTGTGTGGTGGCAGGTTGTGTGCAGCCCTGTGACCCATGGCATGACATCACAGTGGGACACACACATCCCAGGGACAGGTCCTTGGACCACACTCTTTGGAGAGGTCTGGGCGACGCCAAGACTGCTCTTACCAGCACCCTGCTGTGCAGGAGCTGCCCTGCTGCCAGGAGGCAAAGGGAAGCTGTGGGAGAGCGTTGGAGATACCACTTGGAGAAGTGTTGAGAGGGAGGAGAGGAGCAGAGGAATTTTGTAGCAGGGCAGGCAACTTTTCTGCACTGCTGTGCAGGATCTGCCCTGCTGCCAGGAGACTTTAGAAGAACATTGTAGACACCACTTGGGAAGAAGTCCGGAGGAGGAGGAGGAGAGGGCCAAAGGGGTTTTGTAGCAGGACAAGCACCTCTTCCTCAGCTGCTGCACTGCAGGGGGGCAAAGATGATGAAGTACATGCGCTATAAGCCTGTGGGGCCGGGGGACCTCCCAACTCTCAGGGAGCTCAGCAACAGTGGTAAGGCCATGGAAGTCCCTTGCAGGAGCACTGTCAGGGCCAAGATTACATGGAGATGAACTGTGGAAAGCCTGAGGCTGGGGCCATAGAGGGGGCTCTTTTGGATGGCACAGGCTGCAGTGAGGAGAGCCCTGCCTTGTGGTGCCTTGAGGCTCTGGGGTGGCTTTGGTAGCCCAGGCCTCTAGGAACTGGCAGTGTCTATGAGTGGAAATCCCCTTCCCAGAACTACTGCCTACCTTTCCTCCCCAGGCCTATCATGGACACAGGGTGGGTTGCTTTGAGCCTGCAGTCAAACACGCAGTTGGGCAGCCCCAGCGATGAGAGTGCTTACTCAGGACAAGGGGGACTTAGAGGCACTCCACTGTCACCTGTGTGGGTAGGGGCACAGGGGATGCTGGCTGTCACTGAATCAGAGCATGGCAGGGCTTTTCCTTTGCTTTCCAGAAATCTGGAAAATCTGGTCTGGAGCATCTCGCTACATCCACAGACAGCTCTTGCAGAAGAAGGTGAGTCCTACTTCCTGCACATGCCTCACCCTGTCCCTCTGGGCCCCCAGAGCAGGGCCCAAAGTGCCATTCCCAGGACCATGTCAGTCATGTGGCAGCCACTCCGCCTCTGGGCAGCCCTGCCAATGCTCCCTCCTCTTGATTGTTTCCAGGCAGTGGAAATTGGAGTTGGGACATTTGCAATTGTCCCAGTGCATGCCAGTGTGGAAGAGGGCAAGGTTTTGACTGTTGAGAGACCTGTGTTCATTGTAAGCAAGCCCCTGAAGGCGTTCTACAACCTTGAGTGTGAGGAAACCACAATTCCTGGTAAGAAGATGGAATACTTTCCTCACATAACCCTTGCATTTGGCTTGTTGCCAACAGCTCTGACATGGCCAAGGAAAGGCACTTCCAACCTGGAGAGTGCTGAGTGTGGGCACACATAGGGCAGTCCAGCACCCTGCCCCTCTCTGGGGAGCCAGCCTCATCTCCCTCATCTCCCCAGCTCTGGCTGGTTGATTGCAGCAGAAGGCCAAGCTTTGCTTGGCCTCTCCTGACCACCACCTCTGTTCTGGAGAGGTGGCTGAAGTTAAAAGGGGAGAACAGTCTCTGAGCTGGCTGAACTGTGGTGACAGTTCAACAGAAATCCTGTTTCTTTGTTCTTGTTTCCTAGATGAGACACCTGTTGTTCAGCTGGACTTCGGGGAGATTGCTGCAGACACTCACTTCCGCAGAGAAATTGTGGAGCTGTGTGTACATGAGACCCTGCTTTGCTTTGCTGGGGCCCTCCGAGACAACAAAGAGGTGGAATTCTCCTTCAAGGGCATTGGTATCCTTGCTGTGCGAGGAAAAGTGGTCAGCATGACCTTCTTTGATCGCTGCCTGCTGAAGCTGGATATGACAGGAAACATGCTGAAAGCTCTTCTCGAGGTGAGCTTGTCACTTCAATGGGATTCCTCTTCATGGCTCTGTGGCAACGCTGTCAAAGCACTCCTGCTGCCTTCTCTCAGCTGTCAGGACCTGCCTCACCACCCAGCCTAGGCACCCTCCTGATGAGCTTGTCCAAGTCTGGGCAGCACTTCAGCCCTTTGAGGGAGGGTCTAATGACATCAAAGGAGAAGGTGGTGTGAGGCTTTCTGGGAAGCAGCCGTTGTGTCTCTGAGCAGCAAGGCGCTTTGCCACCTTTGTGGGTAACCAGCATGTTTCTGGGTGTCTGTTGAAATGTGGCTGTCCCCTTCCAGGACTCCAACATGATGAGGATCGTGGCCTTTCCAGGCCAAAATGATTTTAATCGGGTCAGTCGAGATGAGGTCATCACACTACCAAGGTGAGCAGGATGGCTTCTGCAGCTTCTGCAGCTTCTAGCTCACTGAGGCTTCTTTCCAGCCAAACTTGGACAAGACCAGCCCCTTCCCTGGAGAGCTTCCTACTCCACCCACCACTCACTCCTCTCTGACTTGGAGATTGCAGACAAAGTGGCCATTCTGCTTTGAGAAAGGCAAGAGGGTGTGCGGGGACATTGAAGAGGGCATGTGCACCGTGTCCTCCAAGGACTCGGCAGTGGCTCCCAAAGACGGGTGCCAGCAGCTACAAGTGTGAGTCCCCAAGGGAGCCTGGTGCCCCATCTTTACCCAGTTGGTGCCTTCTTGTTTCCAGTCTTGTAGTGGAGACCCCACACCAGCCACAGGCCCCTCTGATTTCCCTGAAGCCCAGCAGAGAGTCGGCGCCCTGGGGCGGGGGTTCCCGCAGAGGTAATGTGCCATCTGAGGGCTGGCAGGGACTGAGGGTGCTCTTGCCCTCATGAGGGCAGGAGGTCTGAGGTCACTGTGGGATGACCCATTCTGGAAGAGGCTCTGAGCTGTGGGCAGCCCCTACAACCCAATCCCTCCAGTGGGCCCTGGGGATTCCCAGCACCTCCCAGTTCTTCCTGCTGGTGGGTCCCTTCTGATGGCAGAGTTGTGAGTAGGAGAGGAGGAAAATCATGTCCTGGAGAGATGGGTGGCTTGGTGGGAATTCAGCTCCAGATCAAGTGTGGGTAAGGGACAGGGGCCTGCTTGGAACTCTGGCTCCCAGGGGTGGCAAGGACTGAGGGCGAGCCTTGCATGGCACGACTGAGCAGCTCTGCCCCTCCTGCTGGCCCACATGATGTCAAAGACACCATGTGCTCTTCCCTTTCTCCCACTTGCAGTCAGCGTGCTGGATCCGGTGTTCCTGGCTCGGCGGAGGGTTTCCCAGGCCAGCCAGCAGTCGATGGAATCTGATCAGCCTAAAGAAAAGGAGGCTGGCCGAGGAGGGTGAGCCCTGTAGAGGAGTGGTGTGGCTGAGGCTGTGTGGGGAACACTGTGCACTTGTGAGAGTGGGGGAGAGATGTTTCCTTTGGCTGGGGTGCACGTGCTGATGTTGAATGGCCCTGGAGACCTTGTCCTGCTGGACTCGTGGTCCTTCTGCTGAACTGCCGCGTGGTGCCATGGAGCAGGGTGTGAGCCCATCCCACAGGTAGAGGCTCAGACTGGGCTCCCACAGACTCAGACTGCTGGCCTTTCTCTTTAGATTCCTGCATGTAACCCAGGAGAAGACCGATAAGACGCTAATGCACCCCACACCTCAATCTCAGTCATGGTCAAAGCTCCCCGAATGTGCTGCGCGCCCCTCAGCAATGGTACATCCTTGGGTTTTGCCAGCCCTGTGTCACATCCTGGGCTCTGGGCCGAGGCAGAGAGGCAGCAAGAGCTGCCCATTGCCCCAGCCCTCCTGCCCTACCCATGCTCAAGGTGACTAATGTTGCATGTGTGGTGTGTGTCTGGCCTTCAGGAAATGCACTCCCTCTACACTGAGAGGGAAGAAAGAGAGCTCCAGCTGCTGATGGCATCCAGGCGCCATGAGGTGGAAGGCGAAGTGTGGCGCAAATACTTTGGCAACCGAACGAGACAGGGCACAGAGCTAGGAAAGGTATGGCATGCATATCATATCCCCCAGGAAAGGGGCATTTCCCCTCTTCGCTCCCTGTTGTAACACTGGCCCTGGAGCTGTAACACCTGGGAGGGAGCAGAGAAGGTGTCCGGGCACAGCAGCAGTGCCATGGCCTGCCCTCCCTGCAGGAGGAGCTGTTCCTGAGGCCCCAGGCTGGAGCGTGCAGCTGGCTGTGGCATGGGCTGGCAGCTTTGTGCTCTCTGTGAGGGGTCAGCACCACTGCTTTGAAGACCAAGCCAAGCCCGTGCAAGTCCCACGCCTCAGCTGAGGCTCTGGGAGCAGCCCCAGCCATTGGTGGCAGTGCTTTAGAAGTCTCCTCTGCCTTTGCAGACCTCCTGCCCCTACGTGTTTGAGGATCCCTATCGCCCTCCCTACCTCCTGAGGAAGGCCTATGCCGAGAAACTGAAGGAGAAGGGGCGAAGCACATTAGAGCAGCAGGAAGAGCTGCAGCTCCCGAGGAAAGTACTGAAAGAGTAAGTGTGGTTGTGGCACGAGGGCCCCTGACAGGTCCCGTGGAGCAGTGCCTGGGCTCAGCAGCACTGCCAGGAACTGCCAGCCTGAGCCAGGCTTTGGGGCATGGGGAGCCCTTTTCCCTGGCTACAGAGCTGAGGAGGCCTTTTCTTCCGTCTCTTTAGCAAGGGGGTGCAGACAGGTCTGTTGAAGCACCGTGGGGACGGCCCAGGGACTGCCAGCCCTGCCAAGAAGATGTGAGCAGTCCTGGCGAGACCCTTGTCACAGCATCCACCCTTTTCAAAGAGAGAGCTGCCAGGAATGGGTGGCAGGGGCAAGGAATGCCTTAGCCAAGGAGAACATGCCAAATAGAAGCTGCTGGTACCTGATCCCAGCTGGAGTGACCATGCCCCTGCCTTCACTGCCTTTCTCTGCAGGCCAAGGGGACAGGAGGGGCCCCTGCAGCCCCCTGGTCAAGGGGCAAATGGGCTGGAGGTACCTGGTCCTGCCAACCAGTGGTGACAAGCTATGGGACTGAAAAGAGTGGTGTCCCTTCCAGGCTAAAGGGCATGGGGGCTGCAAAGCACAGCTCTCCTGCATCCAAACA